GGTTAGACAAACTTTTAGTCCTATATTCTATGGTAAGAAACTTTTTCTGCAATATGTTGTTGATGCATATGTCAAAGTTGAGGGACAGCGCCTTGCTTTTATTAGAAATAACCAAAACAAACTTAGAAGTGAACAATATGATGCATTGCATGCAAATGTAATTAATCGTGCTAATGATCTTAATGTAAGACCAGGCCGCGTTGTTATATTGCCTTTTTCATATGTTGGTAGTCCAAGAGCACTAAAAGAAAACTTTGAAGATGCAATGGCAGTCAAAGAAATATGGTAAACAGATCTATTCATTACTTTTACCTGCAATCCAAAATGGAGAGAAATAGTAGAAAATTTAAACCCTGGCCAGACTGCTAATGACAGACCTGATTTAGTTTGTCGGGTATTTAAAATGAAACTTAAATTTTTCTTAGAAGATATTTTCAAGCATGGAGTCTTAGGCAAATTGGCAGGTTATTGAGTTTCAAAAGCATAGTTTGCCACATGTACATATTTTATTGCACTTTGTAAATGCAGATAAGCTAGAAACAGCAGAAGATATTGACAGTTTGATATCAGCAGAAATTCCAGACCCAGCTGTTGATCCTGAACTTCATGAAATTATAAAATCATGCATGATACATGGACCATGTGGAATTTTAAATCCCAATTCTCCCTGCATGAAAGATGGAAAATGCACCAAAAAATTTCCTAAAGAATTTAATCCCCACACTGTTGCAATTTTTAATGATTATCCATGCTATAGACGTATCGATAACGGAAGAATTGTTAATAAAAAAGGCAATCAAGTTGATAACCGTTGGGTTGTACCTTATAAACCATGGTTTTCTAAAAAATATCAAGCGCCTCATAAATGTTGAAGCCTGCAAATACTTCCAGTTGTAAAGAGATGGCAACCAGCAGATATTTTTAAAGCCTGTATAAAATGTTCTCAACATTGGCAATATGTTTAGTGATTTTCATTAACAGAAAATATGAGGGTTCGGGCCGAACAAGAGGAATTCTCTAAATGAATTCTCTTTTAAAACTTGGTAGTGGAACATCACTGTTAAAAGCAGATGGTTCCTTTTGCGGGTGCATTGAAATTCCTGAGCAGTGCTTGCTTGCAGCAAATGAATCTATAGTAGACAAATTTTTGGAGTTGCAGAAGAAGATGATTATGCAAAACGTGCCATTTTGACACCCACTAACACTAATAATAATATATATGTGTTATATAAAGTAAAAGATTTAAGTTTTTTAAATGTTTATGTATGTTTTTTTAAGTGTGTGCAGGTAGTAGTTTAAATATGTTCAATAAACTCAGGATAACTCAACCCTCAACAATATAAACTAATTTTGAAATTCCACTTAAGCTTTTTTTTTATATATTATACTCCAAATAACTTTAACTTTCTTTAAACTAAACTAATTTTATTGTCCTTTAAAGGTGTGGGTTATCTAGAGTTTGCTTTAACATGTTCTGTTATTTAATTAATTATTGTGATGTTTTATGCTAATAGGCTCAGCTCATATTCATGTTGATCTGTCAGGGTTATGGAAAAATAAAAAGTAAGTTTCTTATTGACTTAATCGCATTTTTGAGTTTTCAAAAAAATTAATTGATTGCATGACACGTTAATTTGTAATTAATGTGTATTATGTTAAAAATAATTTTATTCCATTTTTAGGTCGAGTTCCTTTTCTTATGGCTGACTTGATTATGGCTTACCTAAAGCCTAATAATAATGAAACAATGTTTCAATTTAAATTGTTTTTTAAGTATTTTTGTTTATTTTTGTTAAATATAATATTTTTTTTGTAATTTTTTTTAAAGTTTATATTTTTATTTTATCTCAAAAAAATGTTTTTTAGTTCTTAAGTAAATATCTATATTTTTTTATTTTTGGATTTATTGTTTCAAATGGATATATTGATCATTTTTGCATTGTTTTTTTTATTTTTGTTGCTTTTTATTATATATATGAATAGAAACCATTTATACTTAAAATCGTATTTTGTACTCGAAGTTTCTATTTGCATTAAGTATCCATTTGCATTAAGATTAGCACAAACAACATGTTTAATAACTTTGGATGTAAAAACAGCTTAATTGAATGAATTTGTTAACAGTTTTGTTTTTTACAGCAATGTTTTTATAAAAAGTATCAAACAGATAAAGCTAACTTATTTAAAATAACAAGTCTCTTAGGCCCGTTTTCTAGTATCCAAATTTGTTTTTTAAATAAATCTTGATGAGAGGGTAAAATCTTGATTATAGCTTAAGTTTTCAAAAACATCTAAAGAATTGTTACGCAATTGTCTCTATTATGTTAAAGATCCTTTTATGTATAAAATGGAGTACATTAAGTAAATAAGTACAGTTTCTAAAGTATATTAAGTCAATTGTTTACCAATAACTTCAAATCGACTTATTTTTTGCTGTTTACTTAAGATATAGAGGCCTAACTAAGAACAAGTTTGGAAATAGGATGTGGAATAGAGTTAC